GCCTGCACTGCCGCCCTGCTTGCTTCTCTGTTTTGACATGGCCACATTTTGCTGACGTGTGCAAATGCCAATGCCTTATCCCCCTGCCAACTCTGCAATAACGCCCCCTCCTGCCCGGGTTGGAGCTGGCAGGCGTGGGGAAATGCACTGCTGAAAACACATGGGGCTCTGCTGGCCCTGGGCCCCGGCTTGCAAGATTAGCCTGCACTGCCGCCCTGCTTGCTTCTCTGTTTTGACATGGCCACATTTTGCTGACGTGTGCAAATGCCAATGCCTTATCCCCCTGCCAACTCTGCAATAACGCCCCCTCCTGCCCGGGTTGGAGCTGGCAGGCGTGGGGAAATGCAGGGGACCCCGTCCCCACGTCCTGTCCCTGGCTGACCCGGTGGCCAGTGTTTTGTACACAGCCCATCCTGTACAGATGAAAAGTCCGCTGTAAATAACATGCCCCTGGACTGGCATGGTTGCTCTTGTACAGAATGTTGCTCCCGTACTAATAAATCCCTATTTTGAGCTGCAGTGGTCGTCTCCCGATGCTTTGCCAGCACAGGAATCTGTAAGGGGGGCGGCGAGCAGGGTGTGTGGGGTGGACAGAGGCCGCCCCAGACAGCACTGAACCGCAGGGAGCCCCGGAGAGCTCCTGAAAGCGGCGCGGGAGGAAATAGCAGGGAAGGGACCCTGCAGCAGGCGTCCAGACAGCAAGCGAGCTGGGCCGGCCTGCCCCGGGCTTGTGTTGAGAAGAGGGAGGAGAGCGCGTTCCCCACCCGGACTCTCAGCACCTTGTCCCAGGAGGTGTTTGTTGGGGGGCCAGCCAGCGGCTGCAGCCGGGACTGGGCCTCATGGGAAAAAGGTCGCAGTCCACATTCAGCCCGAAGAGACTGCACTTGGCTAGACGAGGGCTGAGTTTGGGCCCTTGTACAGCAGCCTCTGAGTCACTGGGGCAGCCATCCCTCTGGGCCCCAGAGCCAGCCAAGGGCTTTCCCAGCCCTGCTGAATCGCTTTGTTCCTGCCGCGGGTGAGACGGGGAGGGCAGGCTCTCCATCCCAGGGCTGGCTGGCGCCCCACGCTCCGGAGGAGAGGGTCTCTCTCCTGGCAGGTCTCATTAACGTAGGTGGAAACCCCACAGACCTGGCTCCTGGAGCAGGGACCTCCCAGTGCCCCAACCGGCATCAGTGCTCAGCTCCATGGCCAGCTCCGTCCCCTGCCCACCCGTGGAACCAGCCCTGTGGACCTAGTTTGCAGCATCTTGCCCTCCAGGGTCACGGTGCTGTTGAGGAAGGACGCCCGCCCGTGCGGTGCTGCGGGAGCCCAGCCCTGACCGAGCCACACGGGTCTCTGGCAAGGGCGCTTGCTCGAGTGCTGCCAGACCCTCCCTTTTTGGAGGCGGAGGAGCAGCTGGCAGAGCAGCACAGGCCGGAATTAGAGCCCCTGACGAGGGGGGCGTGCGCCCCCGGAGCTCTCAGTAAGCATCCCGGACGGCCCATCCCCTGCATGCTGCCAGCCTAGCCAAGGAGTCCTGTGTCTGTGTGCAAGGGACAAAGGGAAGGGTCTTGAAAGCGGCAGGTGGACGGTGACTTTTGGCATCTCGTTCGGGGCTGAACCTTGAGCCCTCGTGCCGGCTCAGTGCACAGAAGGGGGGGCGCAGCCATGAGGAAGCCAGATTTGCTCTCCTCTAATGGGTACAGGCCAGCTCTGGCCCATGGTAGCCATTCCAGCCCAGGCAGGGAGCCCTCGGACCATGAATGCTACAGCCCTGAGGCAGGGCCGAGGGGAAGGGGATCAGGACCTGACTGTGCTGAGTGCCTCACAAACCGGAAGATCTGCTCCCTGCCCCCAACGCTTCCAGTCTAAGCAGGAACAAGCTGCACCACATGAAAATGATAAAGTGAGGGAGGCGAGGAGGGAGGCTGCAGCGCCCAGATAGCCACGCTTAGCCCAGGGGACGTTGGCATTTTGGTTCCACGTCAGAACTTTTCCCCTCCAGCCAGGGCGGCCCCCCCGGCCCTACAGCCTGGCTAATGGCCCTTGGCTTGTGGGCGTCCTGGCGGAAGTGGAGCTGGGATTTCAAACAGGACAGCGCTGCTGGGGGGGAGGTGCGGCAGCAGAAGAGGCAGCGTAGAAGGAAGCACAGAGCAGTGTCGGGGAGAAGGGGATTTGGGGCTGGAGTGGAGGTGCGTCGGAATGATGCAATGAGAGATGAGCACATAATTATTAGCAATGGTTTTATGGGGGTGCCTAAGGCCCCGCCACAAGTGACACCCCATTGTGGTCGGGGTGGTGCCCGGAATCGGTAGGCCCTGCCCTGAGCCACTTCCAGAGAGACGCGGAGAGAGGTGAAAGGGGAAGAGAGTTGAGCATCAAAAAGCAGCCTCTCCGTCGGTGCTGCCTGGCTTCGGGAGCAGTCACCTCCGGCCTGAATGCCACAGGTTGGTTCCTCCCAGCCGCTAACCAGACCCCGGCTGTGTCTCTCCTTCACTGTCAGTGCTGGGAGTCAGGGCGGATTTAAATCCCTTCGGGGAGGCGACATGAGGGGCATGGACCCTGCGATGGACGGAGCAGGCCAGGCCGCGGTGCCGATATTTTGCCCACTGCTGGTCTCTATTCCTTCTCTTGCAGCAGGGGAGGAACCTTTCCAGGGTCGAGGGCTGCTGCCCCACAGAACAAATCAGTCGGGGGCTGCGCACAAGTGAGAAGCGAAAAACAAACCCAACAAAACCCCGAAATCCGCAGAGGCAGCTCCCCACGTTCCCCTGCCCAGCAGAGCCCGGGCCCCGCCTGACAGATGCTGCGTGGCCACAGAACAAATCAGTCGGGGGCTGCGCACAAGTGAGAAGCGAAAAACAAACCCAACAAAACCCCGAAATCCGCAGAGGCAGCTCCCCACGTTCCCCTGCCCAGCAGAGCCCGGGCCCCGCCTGACAGATGCTGCGTGGCCTGCCCTGCAGTGGGGCTGGGGGCCGGACAACCAGCGCAGGCTCCTCCATGCTGGGGGGCATGAGCCTGGGGGCCGGACCCAGGGATGCCCACGTGTTCCCCACGCAACACGT